TGTAGGGAAGCAGAGTAGAATGGTGGTGAAGAGCATGCGACAGATTTGGGTTAAATCCACTCTTTATCAGATTAGTTACTTATTCTCTTTAAGCTTTAGTTTCTTCATACGTAATAATAATGTTATTGTGGAACATTCACTGTATGCCACACAGTGGGCTTATTTGGCGAGGTAAAAGAGATGGGTGTCTTTAAGAAGTTTGTTGCCCTTTGACATGTGTCAAGTATTCAGTAAGTGTTAATTAACCATTCTTATCTTCATCATTAGCACCATGATCTTTACAAATATGTTACCTTGAGGAAGACCTGATGTAATGTGCATATGACAGATGTCCATCAACCTGGTGAAGAAAGAACAGTTGCTGGGGATGTATTTCAGTCTCGTACCTTTTCACCAAGCTCAAGATGGAAAGATGTTTGGTCCACGTGCATAGAATGAGGTTAATTAGTAACAGAAGGGCAGTGTGACAGTCATAAAGCAGGGGGTGGGGCAACTTATCTCTTAAGAATATGTATTTTTAGTCCATTTAAAAGTTTAAAGGTCAGGGCTTCCCTGGTGGCACGGTGGTTGAGAGTCCGCCTGCCGATGCAGGGCACGCGGGTTCGTGCCCCGGGCCGGGAAGATCCCACATGCCGCGGAGCGGCTGGGCCCGTGAGCCGTGGCCGCTGAGCCTGCACGTCCGGAGCCTGTGCTCCGCAACGGGAGAGGCCACAGCAGTGAGAGGCCCGAGTACCGCAAAAAAAAAAACCAAAACCAAAAAAAAAAGTTGAAAGGTCAAACACTGAAGGGAATATAAGAGCATAATGTTATTGTAATGGTTTGTTTCATTATATGTAACTTGGAAAGATTATGTGCCCCTGGATAAACTAATTCATGATGCGAATGATTTACCTTTAGTTGCAGTAGAGTGTATAGGATAGTCTATGTAAAGTGTAGTGCATGTCATAGAATAGTATATATTATAGTATGTTTTCCTGAAAACACTTGGGGGTGGAACAGTTGCATGTCTTTCCTACTGATGTTTTCCTCTATCCCATTTTGGGAATGCTATTTACCTAGTAACCCCAGTCTTCCTATAAGGAAAAGTGACAGCCATGGAAAAGCTCATTTATGTTGATTTATTCTGAAATCAGTGTCCCCTCTTTATTCTTTGGAAACCTTTCATTGACTAAAACTGTGAGTGGTAGCTGAAATCAGCAGACAGGAGGGTGGGAAAGTTGAAGCAAGGATTTGGTGTCTACTCCTCAGCCTGAGTATGATTTTAGGCCAGTCAGCGAACTGTATACCTCTTTTTCTGTGAATAGACAGAAAAAAAAAATTTACGTAGGACTTCTCTAATTAAAACTTGCAGTCTGTAATAATTAAGCTGAGGCTTGTCTTTGCACTTTCTGGAAAAATATATATTAATAGTGTTAAAGTCAATATTTATCTTCCTCTATGATCTGGGCACGAACACGTCGCAATCTTCTGTGATCCCTTAAAGAAAGCCTCTGCGTTCTTGCATGCTTGCCTCTGTACTTCAGAAGTGTTGTGTGTGGGTCAGTTCTTGGACTTTGCAGCCCCCTCTTCTTTCTCTGAGGATTTTTCTATTTTGCCGCACTGCCGTTTAGAAACGTATGTTACTGTGGAGAAGGCAGCCTGACTTTTGTCCCAGTGACTTGATTCTTTAGTGACTTGATTCTTTAGTGACTTGATTCTTTTTCCCTTGGCCTGCCTGCTCATATGATTCCTTCTTTGTCCTTGAAGTTCAGTGCCTTTACTAGGATATGTTTCAATATTGATTATTCTGTATCAGTTTTTCTTGGGACTCAGTGGACCCCTTATTCTGCAATTTTAGGTCCTTGCTTTACTGCAGAACCTTTTTGGTATATCTTTTAAATGTCATTTTTGGTTCCATTTTCTTTTCTGTTCTCTCCTTTAGTTATGCATATATTGGATCACTTTCGTTCTTTATATCTATCCCTTTCTCTCCAGTCCTTTTAAAAGCTTTGATCTTTCCCATGGGAAGCACAGAGATAGTTAGTCCAGGCTTCAGGCCAGACTGCCTGGGTTTGAATCCTTGTACTATCACTTACTTGCTATTTAACTATGGGCCAGGTACTTAAACTTCCAAACCACAGTTTCCTCATCTTTAAAATGGAGATAATACTGTGTCTCCTTTTAAGAGTTGCTATGAAGATTAACTGAGCTAAGACAGTAAAAGGGTTTGGAAGAGAGCATAGTAAGTGCTCAAAACTGCCAGCCACTGTTGCTATTTCCATTTCATCCTGTTTGATTTTCACAGTCTATCCTTTAAGTCTCTGACGCTGTTTTTAGCCATGTCGGTTCTTTTTGCTGATCCCAGTAAGGATATCCTTTCTAAAATTGTTTTTTTTTAAATAAATAAATAAATAAATTTATTTATTTAGGCTCTGCCAGGTCTTAGCTGAGGCACACGGGACTTCGCTGTGGCATGCACGTGGGATAGAGTTCCCCGACCAGGGACTGAACCCGGGCCCCCTGCATTGGGAGCACGGAGTCTTACCCACTGGACCACTAGGGAAGTCCCTAAAATTGCTTTATTTTCTTCCATCGTTTTCCTGAGCTCTCCTTGTTTACTTTTCATCTTCTCTATTGCATTGTCATTTCTTCTTAGAAATACTGTATTTTTCTTATGAGCCCTTATTTCAGAGAAGACTATTTCTTGAATTTCTTGGGTCCCAGGGGGAAATATAGGTTCATTATCTCTTCCGTTTCGTGGTATAATTTGTCCAGCATTCGTTCTGTAGCCGGTTTCGTTCGCTAGGTTTTGTTGTAACTTCTTTCTTAGGTATTTGTAGAACTTTGCAGTAGCTTATGGACCAAGTACTAATGATGGCTCCTTTCTGATTTCTCTTCTTATCTAAATGGGTGGCTGTTTTACAGCCAGCTATTGGCTGACCCGTGGGCAGAAGCTGAGTGAGCTGGGGCAGC